CTCACAGTTCCCGAGTTTGAGCCCCACATCGGGCTCTGTGTTGGTGGCATGAAGCCTGTTTGGGATTCTCTCTCTCCTTCTCTCTACCCCTGCCCTCCCCAAGTAAACATATACACGTTAAGAAAAAAAAAAAAAAAAAAAAAGAAGGAAAGAAAGTGGAAAGCCAGGCAGGTCAGTGCTCAGATCCCAGTACAGACGTGTGGCAGCGTGGATGACTCACTTGCTCATTTCTTCACCGTCACGCTCAATGCTACCCTCACTCCTCACCCCTGTCTCATCCATCATTAGCCTCATCCCTACCTCAGCGCCACCAGCAGATAGACACCGCATGTATACAAAAGAAAGGCACCATCTTGGGGCAGATGGCTCATAAAAGGCACAGCCCCACCGGGGCAAGGCTTGGCCAGCAGACTGCCTCTTTATGGCAATAAAATGATCCCCTGCATCCGGCTTACTCCAGCCTGGCTCTCAGAGCCTGGAGTGGATGGCAGCTCCCACTCAACTCTTCAGGGGGTGCCCATAGGCAATGCACAGCTGGCCATCTGCAGACCCTAACCTACCCTAAAGATTTGCTCAGAGAACGGACCAGGGCCATGAGTATGGAGTGCCCTACTTAAGGATATCCGGGCTCATCTGTGACAAGAAAAAGGAATCATTAATTAGAAAGGGAACGTAATGATCCTTGGGGCCTACCAGTTAGTAGACGCTCTACAAACAGCACCTATTATCACCACCGATTTCTCCTTCAGAGTTTCAAACTCAAAAGGTCCTTCCGATCAATAACGTGCTTTAGTACCGCATAAGAAGCCAGACTGGCCTTGAAATTTCACTAATGTTGCCACACATCCACCAGTGAGTCAAACAAACTACTTCTATGGAATCTGTAATGACATAATTGAAACCGGGTTTACATTTATTTAAATAATATAGGTTTGATGGAATGAAAATATTTTAGTAAGCGGCACAACACATGTTTGAGGAAAATTTACACGGGTTCCCCCGCCCCTGCCCCATAGATTTCCTCACTTACCTATAAGCACCATTTTGGAAATGAAGAAAGAGAGAGAAAGAGGGGGTGTGGGGGTTACGTTTCAGGTCTGCACAATGGCACCTTTAACAAACCTGCCAGCTAGTCAGAAACTAAATAGGCTGGTTTGAAAAACTCTTTACTACTGCCAGTTAATATTCACAGGGCTCTAGGGGAACGAGAACTTTCAATGACTCAGTATTTATAAATGCTACTGTTGTCCCCCAGACATGTGTCTTAGATTCCTGAGGGATCCTGGGAGCTTTTGCTATAATGAAGGTAAGAGTATATGAGTTTCAAATGGGGAAAGGAATAGGTAGGAAAACAAAATTAAACACATATAAATGAGCACATGGTGGTCTTGAATTTGAATATGATTGGGAAATCTGACCTGTGTGGGCTATTGCATTTTCATTTACCAATGTCTTGAGCAGAGAGAAAGCATTCAAAATGCACAGCAATGCTGGCCAAGACACGTTGTGTCTTTTTGTTTGAAATTTTGCTGCTTTGTGTCTACAGATGCCAAAAAAGGGCTACCCTTCAAATGTGGGATATCAAACTAGCTGGGTTTGTGTTTACAACTCTGATGGTGTAATCGAAACTCCAAATGGTCAAGGAACAATAACATTACTGAAGTGAAGTCAACTCTAAATTAAAAGTCAGTGTTTCCATTACCCACTCTAACAGTATTTTCTGGAGTTTATATAACTTGATCATTAAAAAATGCTCGAGGCTGAAAACCTGGTCTGTGTCAATTTTGGACTAACCTAGTTTGCAAAGCTCTGAAGTTTGTTTGCCTGTCCCTTTTATCCCTTTTCAAGAATGTATTGCTTTTAAATGCTACACACGAAACTGGACCAAAAAACTCTGTAACACCCGATGAGCCAACAGTGTTACATGCATCACTCGTTTTTCAGAAGAAATTTATGATTTCTGTAAACTCACTTTCAAGGGGCTTATGACTGAAAGCAAAGAGTTCAAATTCCTTTTTCTAACGCAGTCTTTAGCGCATCCCTTCTCTGTTGGTGACCTCATCAAAAATACTGCAACTACAAATTGCAATATAAACCTTTGTAGGGACAAACTTCACATTAGAATTTAACGTGGTAGAAATAAACTTTACTGTTATGACCTCCATTATATCGGCTCTCTGTGGAACAGAATAGAGCTTTTGTATGGAGATGTCAAAAAAGGAAGGGAAGGCAGGATGTGAGATCAGGACATAATCAAGTTACACTGCATCGAACAATGACAGCAGAAGGTAATTGTGCATGAATAAAAATATCTCTGACAGACACATGGAAATATCTTGGTATCTACAAGCCCAAATATTTAGGATGTGAGGTTAGTAAAGGCAGACCTAACTCAAGGTTGAGTTGTACAGAATGCTATGTCAAGAGGCCAGCTTTGAATACACCAAAGATGGCCTCCATACCTTCACCACTGAGAAGTGTGGACTTCTCATGGCATTAATGCAGGGCCCATCCACAGGATCCAGGCAATTTGGATCCTTGCCTGGGAAGGAGGAGACAAGGGAGGAACAAATTTCCATGTGTATGTGTGTGTGTAAGTCTGTATGTCTTCCTGTCTGTCTGTCTCTGTGTCTACCTCATAAGGGAGGCCATACATAGAGTAAATATATTTATAAATGTGGAAAGGGGAATACTGTTTTAACATTTCATATTACATTTGTGTTCTGACTTTTGTAGAATTGTGGCAAATCATCATTTTGATTTAAAAAAAAACCAGAAATACCTAGACTCTGGGTCAGAAGAAATGATGAAGTGCATTTCCTAATCTAGACACCCTCCGGTACAGTTGTTTCCACAATATCGCTCAGTAGAAATGGGCAAGATATTTATAAACTCAAAATTTTAAAATCTGATAAGTTGTAATATATCCTGTGATTAAATACTTCCAGTGACAGACAACTCATTATTCATGAAACAGTCTTTTATTCAGACAACCTTCCTTATGATCCTACGAATGCCTTCTTAAGAAATCTCCAAAGGATTTGTGATGGAAACACATGAGAAAATACAGCTTCTGACATTTCTCCTAAGTCCAAAAAGATCTGAACCTGGCCAAACGTAATAAATGCTTTTTATCATTATAGCATAACTAAAGGAACTAAAGTGTCATGATTTAAACACTTTATTTCTTCAAGTTTTGAATAATGAGCTGACTTTTGCCAAACAGCAAAACAACATTGCTAACAATCCATGTTAACAGTGGAATATTCTTCAGCCACGAAAAGGAACAAAACAGCAATACATGCTACAACATGGATGAACCTTGAGATCATCATGCTAGGTGAGAAAAGCCAGACACAACAGGTTACATATCACACAGTTCTTTGATGAAATTTCTAGAACAGGTAAACCTAACAGAGGCAGAAATTAAATTAGGGCTGGGTGAAAAGGGAACGAGAAATAACTGTTCCATGCACGGGGTGGTTCTCTTTGGGGTGATAAAAATTTTCTGGAATCAGATAGCGGGGATGGCTGCACACTCCAAAAACCACTGAACTATATTCCTTACATAGGTGAAATTTGTGGTATATGAATTATATCTCAATTTGAAAAGCAAGAACTATATCTTCAATCATAGATTTTTAAATCAAAACCATTTTGATAGGCATTGGTATCCAATGAATTTTGAATTCAATAAAATGGCCAAAATGAATACTAACTTTAGATCTATAAACTGTAGATTCCTAAAAGTTAGATGGTGAAGGATACTGAATAATTTATAAATATGAATTTTGCTAAAGAATATCTCACTATATTTATGTTAACAGTCTTTGGTTCATGAAGAATTTTGACCTTTTTTTTTATTTGACAGGAAAGGATAGGTTTACTTCATATCACTTGTGCTTGCCTTTATGAAAAATCAGGAAGTTGAAAACCTACAAATAGGTTCCTCAAAGAAAAACTAACAATTTAAAACAGTTATTATAATCTTTTTCAAATATCTCAGGGTTTCTTTAGGTCTAACTTAAAACAGGTGGAATGTATTCCATCTACTTGAAATGCTTCTGTTTTTTCAAATGACAGTCACACATCCTATAAAAACTGAAGTCAAATTATCTGATAGCACGTTACTTTTGGAAAGATGATGTCACCTAGATGAATATATATGTTGACTTTCTCAGATCATAAGTTCAAAATATAATGCATACAAACATACTATTTCCCTGTGAGTAGCAATAAAATACTCCCAATTAAAAAAAAAGAAACTCTGTGTCACTACATTTTTCCCATAAAGTTATATGAAATCTTACATTATACTGTAGAATAGTATAGAGGTAGAATAGTAGAATAGGACTGAGGTCACAGTCATAAGTTATTCAATTTCTGTACTCATGTTAATCATGTTAGAAACTGTATATGTCTTGCTTCACTAGCTGTACCATATGCTCCAGGGACTATATATGTACATATACATATATACATGTATATGTATACATATACATATATATATGTATACATATATAGTCACCATATATATGTGTGTGTATGTGTGTGTGTATATATATGTGCGTGTGTATGTATGTACGTGTGTATATATACATATACATATATATACATATATTCATATATATACATATATACATACACATGTGTGTGTGTGTGTATATATATATATATATATATATATATATATATATATATATATATATATATATATATATATATATATATATATCTTGATTTTTTTTAGATTAAGCCCAGTAATAATGTCTTACATACAAATAGGGCCTAAATACCTAATTTTTGTTGAACATTCATTAAGTAATTTACTTGTAATTTTCCATGACAGTTTCCTTATATGTATTTCTCATACAGGATTGCCAAATGACCACAAATGATTGTGGATTTCATGATGTAATTGTTGTACAGATTTCTATAAGCATTACAGCACACAGCTTTATTCATACATAATATGAAGAAAAAATCACCATAACACTCACAGTTGTAACCAGGTCCGATACGATGTTGAGCTTCCAGACTGGCCAACGTGATGTGGAAAATGATGTGAAGCAACAGGAAGGAAAGACTGGTGAAGCACAGAGACTTTAATAACCGGCCCGTATGTCCTAGAAGGTAAGAAACACAGAGACGGTGAGGGCGCTTCAGATGCAACACACTCACTCTGACCTTTGCAGCATTCCAAGTGGATTCTGTTTCTGCCGAATCTATTATATAGACACACCCAGAAGTGTGTCAAGTGTAATAATTACTCTCTTAGTTCTTAGTTTAAAGCTAAAGGTATTTTCTTCCCTTTGTAAAATTGTACAATTAACACTGATTAAAAATCCAATGTGAAAGAACGATGCTTTCCTACTTATTATATGACAAATTACCACAAAATGGACCACAAATAGCCCCTGGCCCAGAAAGTATTATAAGAGAGCTCTGCCAAAGTTAAAGGGGAAAAAAAAACTATCTTATCAAAGTAGTTTCGGAAAATAGGAAAAGAAGGGAAGTTGCCCAAAATATTTTACAAAGTTAGAGTAACTTTAAATTCAAAATAAAACAAGGCTAGAAAATAAAAAGGAATTTGAAGCCAGTTTTACCTATGAACATAGACACAAATTATTAAAAAAAGATATTTGCTAACCAACTGAATTAGCAGAGTAAAAATAGAATACATCACATTAAGCTAGGGGTTAAAAGAGACCTGTAATACAAAAACAAACGTGGCTTTCGAGGGAGAGGGGTAGAGGGACGGGCAAAATGGATCAAAGGGAGTGAAAGACACAGGCTTCTAGTTATGGAATAAATAAGTCATGGGAATAAAAGGTACAGCATAAGGAATATAGTCAATGGTATATATTATAGCATTGCATGGTGACAGATGGTAGCTACACTTGAACACAGAGAAAAACTGAATCACTATGTTGTACACCTGAAACTAATAAACATTTTGTGTCAACTATACTAAGAAAATAATAATGAGCTAGCGTTTATTTATCACAGAGACACAAGTATTTAACATTAACAAATGCATACGTGTAAGTCACACACCAGTGGGCTGATATAATTTTCTAAATGGATGCAGAAGAAGCATTCATAAAGTCAAATTCTATTTATGATAAAAGAAAGTAACACTCAATAAACTAGGAATAGAAGGAAATATCCTTAATATGATGAAGGTATTACACCACAGCTAAAACAAGCAATCTACTTGTGGTGGAATTTTAGACATACATTAATGTCAGAGAATGATCAAGGACACTTGCTATCCTTGCCACCACTTAACATATCACTGGGTGCATAGGCCAACGTTATAAGATAAGAAAAAGAATGAAGAATTGTAATAACTACAATTATTTGCAGACAATATGAGCAAATGAAACTATTTGTAGATGATATAATCAATATAGAATGCCAAAGTGAAGCCACAGACCAACTATTAGAATACAAGAATTCAGAAAATGATTTACATCATCATATAAAAATCAATATAGTTCCTTTATATTAACAATAATCAAATAGAAAACAAGATACAAGCTAAATTAGCAACCAAAACTGTATTGTAAATGGTTTTGCCAATGTATCAATTTGGCTGGACTATAGTCCCCAGTTTTTTAATCTAACACTAATCTAGATGTTGTCATGAATTTAGAGATATGATTGAAGTCCATAATCAACTGACTTTAAGTAAGGATATTATCCTTGATAATTTGGGCAGGGCTGATTCAATCAGTTGATAGTCTTGAAAACCAGTCTGAGAAGAGAGAGAAACTTTCAGGCCATCAACAAACATATTCCAAAATATATAAGAAAAGAATTTTTGAAGAACTCAACAAACTTATTTAAAAATGTATTTGGAAGAACAAAAACCTCAGAATTGCCAGGCCAATTTTGAGATTTTGAGATAAAAAATGGGTGAGGTTTATTTGTCCTACCAGACAATTAAGGTATGCTCTAAACCCGGAAGTTAAAACAAAACAAACAGAAACTTAGTTCCCTTACAGAAAGGAAGAAAAGTCAAATGGAATACCACATAGAATTCAGGAAAAAAAAACCAATTTACTTATATGAGCTTGATGAATGTCAAAGTTGATCCCACAAGCCAAGAGAAGAAGAATAGGCTATCTAGCAGGTGAAAAATTGACTTCAATAAAAAAATAATAAAAATAATACTGAATCCCTGTCATAACGGTGATCTTCCAGTAAATAAAGACCTAAATGTGAAAGATAACATTCTAAAGTCAATAGATGAAAATATGGAAGAATAACTCTGTGCTTTGGATTTCCATGGAGATTGCCTCTAACATAAGACCCAAAATATAGGCTATAAAAATAAATAAAGATAAATAAATTAAGTAAATAAATAAATAAATAAAGATGAGTTTGACTACATTAAAACAGAAAATTCAATAGACACCATTATAAATAGAATTCACAGACAGATGATTAGCTGGGGCATCTAAGATTAGAGATGACATTACTGAGATTAATATTTCAATAGACAAAGAATGCCTGAACATCAACAAGAAGACCACTGAACCAAGAGAGAAGTGAACAAAACATCTACATAGGTCTTACAAGGGAAAACTTGAGAGGGCAATATATTTATACAGAGAAACTAAAAGTGGAAAGACATTATTTAAGTCATTAGAGTTAAACCAAAAATGGGTTAACATTTTACACCCATCACATTTAAAAAAAATTTTTTTTAATTTATTTATTTTTTGAGAAGAGAAGAGAAAGCGGAAACAGGGAAGGCAGAAGAGAGAACCTACCAGAATCTAAGTCGGCTCAGGCTCTGAGTATTATCCAGCACATGAGCGCCGATCTGGGGCTTGAACTCACAAACTGTGAGATATGGCCTGAGCTGAAGTTGGACTCTCAACCGACTGAGCCACCCAGGCACCCCTTACACCCATCATATTAGCAAAAATTATGAAATCTATAATATTGGGGTGCCTGGGTGGCTCAATTGGTTGAGCTTCTGACTCATTTACACACATTGCAGGTCTTCCGATCCAGTGTCCAGGCATGACCTGGGCTCCATGTCAGGCTCTGCACTGAGCATGAGCATGGAGCCTGATTGGGATATTCTCTCTCTCTGCCTCTGCCCCTCTCCCCCGTGCTCTCTCTCTCTCAAATTTATATATATATATATATAAACATATATAATATGTTTATAAATAAATATATAAACATATATAATATATAATTATATATAACATAAGTAAATATATAATTTATATATAAATTTATATATTTATATATAAATTATATATTTACTTATAAATAAATTTACATATAAATTATATATTTATAAATACACAAGCATATATATGTGTGTATATATATGTATATGTATATATACATACATATGTGTGTATATATATGTATGTGTATATATATGTATATATTTCCATAATATTGAGTTTGAGTTTTTTTCCGAGGGGAAACAATATTACAGTAATAGCGTGAAATTGGTACAGCCTTCCTGGAAGTCAGTACATAAGTACGCCTCAGTCTCTGACTTGGCAGCCACATTCTGAGTTATAAAGTCCAGAGAAATTTTTGCAACAGGTCTAGATGGGGACTTGAGTCATAACATTCATCATCCTTGTCTGTAGCAGCAGAGATTTGGAGATATTCTAATTTTCTGCCAGTCAAGAGATGAATACGTAAAAACGTGCTGAATGTGCATCTTGAAATATGTGCAACCATTAGGTGCATGAAAGTAGAACCACCTATGTAGATCTTAAAAAAAAAAATGGGTTAAAAATAATAAGAAACAAAATGGGACAATTATTTTGCGGGACACAGACCACAAAATAATTCAGATTAACCAAGAACACAGATCTGGAAAAATAACATATATGTTTAACACAAATATGTTTATGTATAGTTAATATATGTCTAAAACACATTTAAGGAGTTTCCTATGGGGAGGCAGGAAATAGGAATGAGAATGGGGGATGAGAGATGCTCTCTGAATAATCCTAAAATAAAACTGTTCTGTGAATTAAAGAGTACACTTCTGCAACTCTGCTCTGGAGAGGACTAGGTAGGTGCCGGACTGGATGGTCTACATTCTGGTCCTTGGCCTGCCTCTGGTCATGCAACTCTGGGGAATTGATTAGATGGACCCCCAGGCCTTTGAAACTATAAAGTTTTATGTACAAATAAAATTTATTTATATGACAAATATATACCTGATAAGTATGTAGTATACTTATGAATTTGTATGTATAAATAAATTATATCTTTATATTTACATAATGATAAATACATAAGCTATATATATAATATAGTGCATATAATTTTATATTTAAGTATACTTGTGTTACACACACACACACACACACACACACACACACACACACACACATCTTTAAGATCTAACCAAAAGTTACATTATCTCATTTCAGCATAAAATCCTTCTTTAGTGGTTAAAAAACTGCTTGCCACAGTCTCACTGCCTTGATTACTAATCTGATGTTGGGAAAGAAGAATGAGCCAGGGTTACCTTAAAATACGGAGACACCATTAGTTGAATATCTCTCAGGTCTACTTTCAACAAACCCATACAGGAAAGAGGGATTTCTCGGTAGCCCAAGAGAAGATCCCACCAAAACCTGGGCAATATTTATCTTTGAGGCAAAGTGAGAAACCACACACATGTCCTAACTCACTCTTTTCAGCAACTGTGTTAACCGCCCCCATCCACTGCCATGGTTGCTGGGGCGATGGCTCTCCCCAGGCTCTGAGCTCAGGGTATTTACTTCTGTGTTTCTAATGTTGACATGGAAGCATTAGTGAATGCTGCTTGCGTGGACCTAAGACAGAGGAGCCCATAAAATACCCTCAGGGAAAATACGGAACAGTCCCCCCCCCAAAAAAAAATGTAGCATAAAGATTTAAAATGTCATAAACATAAAATATATATACAGCTAAAATGTACATTTCATTCTAAAATGCATTTTCTTCAGGTTTCTCTAACTTTTGACATAATATACTTTTGGCATGTGGTCAGTTACTTAAAAACATAGCTTAAGGAAGTTAAACTTTATTAGCCTTTTAGGAAAATGAAAAGCTTAAAATAAAAGGAAGCAGAAGGGAAGGGAAT